ATGCATGGATGTATGGATGTATGTATGTATGTATGTATGTATGTATGTATGTATAATATATGCGTGTTCGTGTTTATGCGTGCATGTGTATGTGCATGTGTACGTATACGTGTATGTAGGCGGAAAGGTTAGTTCGCTCTGGCACAGTTTTGACTCCTTTTCCACTCCGTTGTGTTACGAGCCCCGCAAGACCCATGTGCCGCTGACTGTTACGTTCGCGCGAGTTGGATGCAGAGTCGCATGCGCGAGGGCCGGGGGGCTCTTGAATTAATGAATTCGGCGAGACTGTCGTGAACATTGGAAATAGTTAGATCTGGGAAAGCCTTCACGCCTGAGGTTTTCGGCCCCGACACGCAGCAAGCAAGCAAGATAGATAGAGGGATGGATGGATGAGAGGGCTAGACAAAGCGACAGATACATGATAGATAGATAGGCAGGCATGCAGACAGACAGACAGACAGAGACAGTTAGACAGATTTATGATTTCTGCATGGATGGATGGATGGCTGGGTGGGTGGGTGGATGGATGGATGGATGGATGTACAGACAGACAGATAAACAGGTAGATAGATAGATGGACGGATAGACTAATACATGGATGGCTTTACATTACTTGAATAGATAGATGGATGGACAGATCGGCAGATAGTTGCACAAGAAAACACAGACGGATAGGCAGATGGATGGTTAGTTAGTCTGCCAGTCAGTCAGTCAGTCAGTCAGTCAGTTAGTTAGTTAGTTAGTTTTCTAGTTAGTGAGTTAGTGAGTTAGTTAGTTAGTTAGTTAGTTAGTTAGTTAGTTAGTTAGGAAGCTAGGTAGGTAGGTGAGTAGGTAGGTAGGTAGGTAGGTAGGTAGGTAGGTAGGTAGGTAGGTAGGTAGGTAGGGAGGTCGGGTCTCAGGTAGGTAGGCAGGCAGACAGACAGATATACAGAGGTATACAGTAGTTGGACACATCTACATCCCCTTAGGTATCCGACGTTCCGAGCCAGGCATGAATTGACGCGCACACCAAGCCGGAAACAGCGTTATTGAATCTTTTCCCGAGGCTGCGCTCGTCATCCTGCTGAACAAGGTGCGAATCTGACTTGAACGATAATCAAGCGGTTTTGATGTGTTTAAATTGAATCTTCTCACACTATTCATGTGTTGGCCGTGCGAGCCCCCATGGTGACAGGTCACCGACGTGTCGGTTCTCACCGGCCCTCGAATCTCCGAGCAGATGAAGGACCGGCTGGGCTGCATCAAAGTTGTTTCGCCCAACAGCAGCTGTAGGCGGAAGTAGGATGTTGCCTTCGTGCTGTGGCACAGACATGTGTGAGCTTCGCGTTTCAGCAGACTGCATGCTGTGCCATGGATTGCTGTCAACTTGTACAAACTTCGAACCCAAGGATGCTGGTTCCGAGGTGCTGCGAGCTCAGCAGGTCCAGGTGGCACCCCCGAAGCAAGGCCTCACTTTTCTCCCGCTTGTGATGTGGCGACATCGCTGCTCTCAGGCTGCTGCTCTGCCTGTCATCCCCGGTATCTCGGAGCTCGCCTGGCTCAGCTGAGAGCTTGAAAGGCAAGCGCAAATCGAAGCCGGGATGTGCTTACTTTTCCGTATGGTGTGCCCCTGCTCAGACGAGATTCCGTCCTCCTGGGAAGTGCCGCCAGAATCCCAGGAACACGCTCGCGCAGCAGGCGCTAACACTGGTTTCGGCAGACTCCTGCAAATCATTTTAAGTTAACACAGTATGCCATGTGTCCGAGTTCATGTTTTAGGAAAACTGCATCGCATTGCTGGCGACGATGTGGCCGAGGCCGATTCCTTTCGGCAAGCTTCCCCTCAGTCGGTGCGCCCCACAGCAGAGGGGCACAGAAGTCAGACTTTGAGTACCTTCTGTTCTACGAAGCTCAGCAGCACTCACAACGGACATGGCTAGCTGCATGTGCTGGTTGTATCCAACCAGCCGCTCTTGCACGAAGCCTCAGGTGCGAGAAATGAAGCCTTCAACCTTCATTGATAACCTGTGAACCCGAGATGCTTCTGACGTGAAATCTCAACTCCGAACTGCAATCCACGCAACAACGACACTGGTGTCGCAATCCCGGAACCCAAGCTGAAGCCAGTAAAGCTTCAAGCCCTGCGAGACCTGAGTAAGAGCGTGTGCAGGCCGGGCCTCCCTGCCCGCTGGCAAGTCCCAGCCAAGATCCCTGCGGGGAGGTGGCTCCAGGCTGCTGACTCTCGACGCTGAGCAAGATAAAGTTAAAAGACACAAGCGACAGGCATGACGTTGATATTGGTGACGATGTTCTTGCTCATGACGATTGGTGCTCTTCTCTTTTGGTTGCTGCAGCTGCTGCTGTTACCACTACTGCAACTGTCACCGCCACCACGCTATGTCGCCCCGCCTCGTCCTTTTCACCTTCCCCTATTTGCTTCTTGTCCTCCTTGCGGTGAGGTGGTGGTGATGGACGTAGCAGTGATGGTGGTGGTGGTGGTGGTCGTCGTCGTCGCAGCAGTAGTCGGAGAAGTAGTCGCAGCAACAGTAGTAATAGCAGTAGCAGCAATCGTGCAGGAGCAGTAGTAGTCGTCGTGGTAGTGCTTGTTGTTGTTGTTGTTCTTGTTGTGTTGGTGGTGTTTGTGATAAAGGCAGGTAGTGGTAGTCGTCGTCGCCGTCGTCGTCGTCATAGTCGTAGTCATAGTGGTAGTATGAGTAGTAGTCGCAGTAGTAGTAGTCGTAGTAGTAGTAGTAGTAGTAGTAGTAGTAGTACTACTACTACTACTACTACTACTTCTACTACGACCAC